TGTTCAAGTAATCGTCAGCAGTTAAAACTGGCTTGAAAGCAAAAAACAACACACAGTAATAAGCAGCCATCAAAATTAAAAAGTATGCGCCATTTAGAGTACTTTTCTCCATGAATTTATCCCATCCCCTTAAAGCGGGCTAAACCAGTGTTAAGACGGAATATCAAGAGAATGTGGAACAGTTAACCAAAATAAATAAATAAATCTCAGTCTTGGGAGAGTATGAGAAGCAAACAAACTCAAATTAATGGTCATTTTCATGGACTCTACACAGACATTTAGTGACTCCTGTTTCTTGATTATCTGTCTACCTTGAAAGGATAATATGGGGATAAACCAGAATAATATGCAAACACACATATTCCAGTTATGCTGGTTTCTAGCAGCCTTTGATATCATTGATTATGGTATCTTCTGCACTGACAGTGAATATTGGAAATAAGAAAAATGCTTCAGTAATTTTCTTCCTCCTGAGTGGCCAGTTCCAATTGGTAGTGGTGGTAAATGGGGAGAGATTGGCTACTCATTGGCTACTCATTATGAAATGCTGTGAGGCTCAACCTTTTCCTATTGTTTAACACATGGGTGTCAAACTTGTGGCATCACATTACTGTCACACGATGTTTTTTCCGTTCAGAGATGGGGTAGGCATGGCCTGCACATGATGCATCTGGCCTGCAGGCCACCAGTTTGACACTTCTGGTTTAATATTTATATGAAGGTCCACAAGAGGTTAACTGCTGGCATAGAGAATAAAATAAAAATATGTTGATGATATCTAATAATATGTCTGTACCCTGGGCTGGGTGAAGGTTATGAAGGACTTTCTGATCCAATGCAGGCCGTTAAGGGTCTAGCTGGCAAGAAACAGACTTACATGGCACCTAACCAGAATAGTAGCTGTGAATTTGAGAACCAACCAAATGTAGAGTCTATCTTTAAGTCTGGACAGAACAGCACTCTCCTGAACTTATGAGAAGGTTCTGCCTGGATTAATTGCTCCTGCTTGAATAACAGGTTGATGCCATGGTCAGTGTTAAGGTAATTCCCCGTTAGGAGAATGAGTGCACACAAGGAGACATAGTGAGAGCGATGTTGAATAACACACGACCAGCACACAGACACACTGAATAGTAAAATGTAGGTTTTACTTCCAGTAAACAGTTAAGCAAAGTTCAACAAACAGTCCAAGTCATACACAGTTAAAGCAATCAGTTTTCAGTCCAGGGATAATCCAAATAACAAAGTCCAGTATCATACACAGTTCAGTAACAGACTTATAACAACCCAAGAAGAACGACGATCAGCAACAGTCAATAGGGAGAAATGCAGGAACCAAAAACAGCAACCATCAGAACATCTAGCAACTAACAACAGAACTAACAACCCAGGTTTCTGGCTCCATCTTATGGCCATTTGAGGAACCACACCCAATTACAATTTTAGCATTCCCTTAAAGAGACAGTATTAAACCTCTATCCTGGTTTATATATTTCCAGCCCAACTGTTAGGTGACTATCAATTCCTAACAGTCAAGAGGCTTTGTATAACAATAAAGGATTAATAAAATGGTTCTTAAATTGTTTGACCCTATTACCTTGTTTCTCAATCTTGAATAATAGCATCACCCTCACAGAAACCTTAAGACTCTTGTTTACACACTGGATCCTCAGCTCACAAAATTGCTCCATTACCTCCAAGGATATGTTCAAATCATCCCAGTTTAAGAAGCACTGCTTTAATTAGTGCTCTAATTAAATTAAGCGGTTGGATTATAGAAAATGCTTGACATGAGGCTGTCCTTGAAGACCACCCAGAAGCTTCAGATGGCGTAGTATGCAATTGGCATGTCTAGTAATGGGCATATCATGGTATTCTCATGTAATATCATTAGTATGGGAGTTACATTGTTCCCTTTGGAACAGTCTCAGATGTACATTTTCAAATAATCTTAAAAAATATGCTCCCTTTAGAAAAAACAAATGAATAAGATCATACTGTCCCTGAGTAATGTTACATTGGATTTATGTTTTATAATTGATTGTATTATATCTCATTATATCAATACTGTTTTCGGGTAAAAGCATTTATTTTACAGGAATATATGAATTATCCTTCTGAAAGATTTTAAGCATGACATTTAAAAAAAAAATTCCAGCATCTAGGAGTGTTAACATTTTCACTAATAAGCCATTATGACTCCATGATTCAAGACTAGTTCCATCTTATCCAAAAAAATGTGTTCTGCTATCAGATTGTGAAGAATAGGATGAATGAGTGGGATTGAAACTTGAGACTGACAGAAATACGGTTAAGAGAAACATATTTATTTTCAATAATTTCCAAGACTTAATAATGAATTGCTCCTTAAGAGTAATAAAAGAAGTAGCTGATGGTCTGGCTGAATTATATCTGTCTGAATCTTTAAGAAATCCTATAGAACTGAGGAATGGCAATTGTCCCTATCTTCAAAAAGGAGAAAAAAGAGGAACGAAGGATCACAGATTGAGCACTGATGTCAAAAATGGGGAAGATTCTAGAGCAGATCATAAAGATAAAAAAAAAATCTTTGAAAACTATACTTGAATTACTAAATGTCAACAAAGATTTGTCAAGAACAAATTCTTGCCAGATGATTCTTTTCATTTTTTAACAGATAACTATTTTTAGTGAAAGTAAATTGTGAACAACAGTAGCAACTTGGTATGGATGGGCAAAACATTTCATGCACAGATCATTCTGAATAGTCTGTGCAGACTGAAACATGTCTGTTCTACCTTCACTTACACTACAGTTTGGAACACGTGTGTATTATTCATTCATAGACCCAGAATATACAGGCTCCTGAGTGAAGTGAGTGGTGGAAAAAGGACTGTCAGTGAAGGAAACAGTGCACAGTAGTGACTACAGAAAGGGAATGAACATATGGAGAGATCAGAAGAGGACAAATGCATAGGACATATGAGAGGAAAGCAAAAGAGGGGATAAGGTACTCCTTCAGATTAGTTTTGGTCAAAATCCAAGATGTTCAGGGTTTGATTTAGTTGGATTAGAAAGACACAAAGTGTTTATTCCATGCACACATAATATACCTTATACATCATGCATGCTCTCATAAGCTAGTTAACAGTAGACCTGGTCACACGATAAATCTGTATGTATATGACTCATACTCAAGGAATGCTTGTCAATGACTCATCAAATTGAGGACAGATTTTCAACCACTAGGGATCCTCTGCTTTTTAGTATATATCATGGATTGGAATGTGGATCCCCATCAAATTTCTGGATATCCAAAAACTGGTTGGAATAACTAGTACTGTACTCTGGAGCACAGAAATAAAATTCATTGAATTTCTTGGTAAGTTTGAGTGATTGAAAATAATAGAATGAAATGTAACAGAAACAAACAAAAGTTCTTCACTCAGAAAAGAAAAATCAAATGCACGTGGGTAGGATAGGGGATACCTGGATTGGCAATGATACTTGTGAAAAAAATCATGAAAAAATTTACAATTTTAGATTGCAATAACAAGTGTGATTTCCAAACCACAGAAAATAATTGTTCAATTTTTTTTCTGTTTTGGTTAGACCTTACCTAGGAAATGGTTTTCAATTTTGGGAATCATATTTTAGGAAGGACTTTTAAAAGAATTATTTGGGGATTAGAAATTAAGACCTATTTAGAAAGATTAAAGGAACAGAGTATGTATAGTCTTCAGGTACACAACTGAAGTAGATCAAGGCCCTTTTCTTCCAAGGCACAGAACTCGGGAATAATCAATCTAAATTGCAGGAAAATGATTTCCACTTCAACATTTACCTAAAAGTAAAAACAGTTCAACAGTGAAACCAATTATCCAGAAAAGTAGTATCTGCTTCACTGGATATATGTTCAAAATGATTAAAGATGATTTTTCAAGGATGCATTAATACAGATTTCTATAGATTGAACTTGATGCTATAAATGACCCCTTCCAGTGGATCTATTTAGCAAAAACAAATTAAAAACTTTAAGTAGCTTCTAAATAAAGATATGAACACATTTGTAAATATTTGTTTGAATGCAAATACTAGTAAACTAATTCAGGGAACATGATTTAATTCTCTGTCCCCTAACATTCAGATATGTATTTTAAATCTGCAGATGTGACACTGATATGCAGTATTAAACAATTTAAAAGACGGTACAATTGCATTAATATTTGTATATATTATGAACATCAAATTTGTTCATAAGTTTATATCCAATCCATAAACAAGCAAATTTCTTTCCTCACAGGAAAATTTATCAGTTTCTAAAGCTCTAAAGTTTAAAAGGTACAATGAAAAATTCTTAGGGGAAAGAAAGCTAGGTGCACTACGGCTTATCACGTTTCTGCAAATGAGATTTTAAAATATCACGAGCCTGTCTTTTTCTTGTATTCTTTCATTGTAAGTTCCTGAACTCCTATTCTTAAAAGTGTTTGGGTTACCTACAATAAACCACAACGACCATACATATATAAGTGATAAAATCGGGCTGATCACTAGGTTACCGCCAAGACGTAGAAAACCAGGGTTTCTTTAACCATGTTTTACATGCAAACGTTCAATTGGCTACCAAGTTACAATATTATCAAGGCTGTGTTCATACAGCATTAAGACCAAACTAATTAAAGAATTTGATGCGTATTTAGGCCAACGCAACTAAGGCACTGATAGCTGTGACTTCACACTATTGTCTATACACTATTGTCTATGAAATGTATATGCCGTTCGTCTCTGGACGGTTAGCTTTAAGTTTGGTAAAACAAACAAATACATTTAAAAGGCCTCTCCTCAGAAACTGGTGCAAAAAAAAAGAAATCAATCCGGAAGCGCTCCAAATGTCGAGCCGCCTGAGATAAACCCCTCGGCCCAGTTACCGGCGGGACCGTCTCTCACCTCGACCCTTGAGAAGTCTCTCCAACGACGATCTCTTATAGTTCGATCTGTTTCCGGCTCAGTCTGATGACGAAACAGGAAACTACCTCAGACTCGGGTGAAGGGTCAACTGGCAGGCGCTGCTGAGCTTTGAAACTGCGTTGTGTTAAGGAGCGTGTAGGGAACCGAAGAGAGGGGGATGATGTTGATATTACGGCCGGCGGCATTGTGGGTCTCGAAAGGGCGGGTGATTTTCCAAGGAAGGAGGTTTTCGGAGGCTCTGCCCCAACAAGGTAACTGCTCGTTTCTTTCGAAGGGAGGGCTGACCTGGCTGAGATAAAATCAAGAAAAGTGCCCTGGATGCACTGTTGTAGGTATTGATCTACAAGGATCTATCCTAGCGAAAAATTCAGCAGATCTGAGTTTGAAGTAGCCACAATATACAGCAGAGGTCTCCAAACTTGGCAACTTGTGGACTTCAACTCCCAGAATTCTCCTGCCCAGCATAGCTGAATTCTGGGAGTTGAAGTCCACAAGTCTTAAAGTTGCCAAGTTTGGGGACCCCTGATATACAGGCATCTTCTTTCTCAGATTTAGTGACATCTGCCTGCAGTGTGGTGTTTTCCTTTCTTCTGTTGGCTAAGCATATCGCCTACAAGGGTAAAGTTTTTTTTAAAAAAGTGTCATGTTGACACTCACAAGGTGTGACCTTTGAGCAGCATTTTTTTTTGCATTTTGGAAACAGGTTCTCATATGGTAGAGATTTAAGAAGTTGGAGTTCAGAGTCGTACACACACACACACACACACACATACACACACACACACATACATTTCAAAGTGAGTTTCTTAAAGAGTTGTTGTATTGTCTTTTGCTAGGTAAAGGCCATGTTGATGAATCTTCACTCCGGCCGCTATATATGGATGTCCAATCAACTACCCCTCTGGTATGTTAACTAAATTATGGTTTGGGAAGATTTTGTTCTTTACTAATAGAAAAAATAAAACTAAACTGTATTTACAGGATGGTTGTATGCATACTTGTTTAGGGACCTGTCCTATTGCAGTTAAATGTTCTTTAGGAATAGACTATATTCTCTTATATATTTTCTCCAAGAGCTTAATAGGGAATATGTAGGAATCTCTCTTTATTCTTTTACACAATGGCAACTCTGTGAGGTAGTTTGGATTTGGCTATCCCAAAATCAACAGTTTCCAATGGCTTTGAATCTGAAGGTCCTTGTACAGGATTTTTATCACTATGTTGCATTGGTTATTTGGTGGCTTCCATGTTTAATACAAAAGCTATCTTCATAAAACAGAGTGGTGAGGATAATAGTTGTAATCCAAAATATCTGAGGTCTCCAAATGATCTACTCTGGTATGTAATGTTTGATTCCTACACTCATCTAAATAGCAACACTGAATTAAACTTGATTAATGAGAATATATAGAGACTTGAGTGTAAAAAACTTTATGTTAACTTATTTAAAAAAGGGCCTAAAGCTATCTCAATATTATACATCAAAGCTGTGTAATGATCTGAATTCAAAGGGAAAAATGATTTGGAGCATACATACTGATATTACATCTGACAGAAATGTCTTAAATAAGTTATCTTCTCATGGGAGAGAATCAGTTTGGTGTAATTATTAAGGCATCAAGTTAGAAATGAGATCATGAGTTCTAATCTAGCACAGGCACAAAACCAGCTGGGTGACCTTGGATCAGTCATAGGAAGGAGTCCATGACAAACCACTTTTGAAAAACCTTGCAAAAAAAAAACCTCCAGGGACTTATCTAGGCAGTTTCCAAGAATCAATGTTTGAATGAAAGAAAAATAAGTCATGTTTAAGGAAAAACTGACAGGTACAATGCCCATGCCCCACGTTGTCTCAAAAATGTTCCCTTTTGAATTAGGATTACTACACTGCCTTTTATATATGCATCTATATGGACTTATATATATTGTATCTCTGTTAACAGATATATTCCTGACATTCATGAAAATCAAATAAGAGCAAAAACAAAATAAAATGGATTGCTATGTTTCTTATGTTCTAGGACCCAAGGGTTTTGGATAGCATGCTGCCTTATCTTGTGCATTACTATGGCAATCCGCACTCTAGAACTCATGCATATGGTTGGGAAAGTGAAACTGCAATGGAAAAAGCCAGACAGGTGAGAATATTGTTTTGTTCTTAAAATTAAATAATACATCTGTTTCTGCTGTATTGTTAAGCAGTTTTGTTCTGGAAAATGTTAGATTTTCCCCCCCCAAAAAGTTCTGCTCTAATATACATTCATGTATTCCTTTTTTCCCCTCCAGCAAGTTGCATCACTAATAGGAGCAGATCCTCGGGAAATTATTTTTACCAGTGGGGCCACAGAATCAAACAATATAGCAATTAAGGTAAGTGTGTGTGTGTGTGTGTTTATGTTTATAAATAAAATTTATTGGCTACCCATCTTACTATAGGATAACACTTGGTGGCTTACAGTTACATCTAAGTTAAAATATAAAAAGTTAAAATCAAACCTTAAAACCAAAGACACTTGGGGAGGGCAGGGGTGGAGTGTGGGGGAGGTGGAATCTGTTATTACTCAACCAAAAACCTCCATTGCGCTGTTCCCCCATTGGGGCTCCAAGTCAACTGGCAAAGCCAATATATTGCAGTATTGATTAAAAATATTATTATAATAATTTCTCAGTACTATGAGTATTAAACAATTGTTGTGTTCCCCTTTAGTTGTAAGGAAGACATGTATTTGAATAAAGCAACAGCTACTAGTAACATACCCATATTCAGTTTTTAGACTATAAATAAATGTTATAATCTCAGAAATTCCATTTGAGATGTTGTATATATACTATACTGTACTTAAATTTACTGAATGCTATTTTTCTTTAAACAAAATATACTTTGAAATTGTTATTTGGAATTTTCTTGTAATTGTGCATTTGTATGCTAGCATTATGGAGCATTTTGAGACACAAAAGAATAAAGCATGGCATGACGTTAAGGACACTTCATTTGATTCCTTTTTTCTTTCCCTTCTTGAAAGCAATCAGTCAACATTCCATTGCCTCTGAGCATTTGTGGCTTTTAATCTTAAGTACATTTACATTATATTTTCTGTTTCTAAAGTTACATCGTTTTTCCTTCTTTTCATAATCTAATCTTTTTAATTATCAAATCCATAAATGAGTAGGTTGGTGTTGTTGTTAACGCCTAGAAAACAGGAGACTGAGTTTTAGTCCTGCTTTAGATATGAAAATTTGGGTGGTGACTTCGGGTCAATTACTTTGTCTCAGTCCACTTCACCTCACAGGGTGATGGTTGTGGGTAAAATAAGAGAAGGATAGGTACTCAGGCTTGAACTGTATTTTCAGCAAAAAATCCATAATGGGTTTCCAGCCACTAATAAATGTAATCATTGGTCTTTTTTCTAAACAAAAACTTCATTAACATCTTTTGGAATGGAAGCATACTTTATTTTTGATGTTTCTGACTATATACCTACTAATTCAAAAATCTCTTGTACTATTTGAACTGTTATAGCATTTTGTGTCATTTTATACATTCCTGTAATAACTAAAAACCAAAGGCAATTTTTCACTATTTTCCCCTTTTCTGCCTGGAATCTAGTGTCCAACATGGAATCTAGTATCCAATTTGTGAAATCATAGTCTCAGATAAACATTATGCCTTAGGATAGTTAAATAAGAAATTTCTGAAAGTGATTACAAACTGAGGTTAGTAAACTCGGTGTCTTCTAAAAGACTCAGCTGGGGCTGTGAACGTAATGGTTGATGCAGCCTCTTCTCCTCCATGCTGCATCGAGAGCCCAGGATGGGTTGACTCCTTCCTATGATGTCATTTAGCTGAGTCTGTACTAAGATATAAAAGCCAGCCCCCGGAAGAGACCCCAGCTTTTGACTCAGCTCCTTTCAGTCAGTAGCTGTGTCTCTGAAAGCTTCTGTTAGATAACACTCACCAGCGATCTTCAGTGCCGTTTTTCCTCGTTTCAAGAAGCCTTCCACCACGAGGTGAGCAGCCATTTGGTAAGCCCGGGGCCCAATTTATACCCAATGGGGCTTAATACAAAAAATTTACAAACAGTTTCTTTCCATCGTAAGAGCCTTTATTCTTCAAATGGAGCAAGATAAGGGTCAGGCAGAGTCGTCCCCCCCCCCCCCCCCCCCCCCCTCCAGCCACTACGAGAAAGAGCAATGCATCCGATCAGTCCAGAGGGAGGTGGCTGCTAAAATCAGAGCTAAGGCTCTAGCCCCTAAGAAGGCAACTCAGGCTGAGTTGAGGGCAGAAAAGCGCAGACATGCAGCCCTACAGAGGCAGTTCAACAGAACTATTCAACAGAAGGGAGTACAACTACAGAATGTTTCAGGTGATACCTGTGGGCCCCAGCCAAGCCCTCCCAGGGGAGGAGAAGTAATCTATGAGCCTTTCCATCCTCCATCCTGGTCTCCTGAGGCTTTTGCAGTACAATGATCCTCAGGATCTAAGGAGATCTGGGCCTTATTTCCAACAGGCTTCTGGGCCCTATGCTCCTCCCCCTCCCTCCAGGCCTCGAACCTCTTCTCAATCTAGGCCTGAAGCCACCTTCACTCCCTCAGCAGCGAGCCTTTGGCCTTCTGCCCCTACCTTTGAGCATAGACCAGGGGATATCCAAGATGATGTCTCTTTGGCCATTAGGCAGGGATTGGCTGAAGGCTTCAAGCAAATCCTTTGACTTCCGGAAAGGGTTCAGGCCCTTCTCCCTTCTCAATTTATAAGTTGCCCCAGGACCTCAGGGTCCATTCTTCTCTATCAGAATGGGAGGAGGTTGATGAGGAGGGAAGGGCTTCACCATCTGAACATAGTTACTCCTCTTGTTCAGAACGTGAAGAGGGCGAGACCTTTGACCAAAATCTTCAGGGGAAGAGGACTCTTGCCCAGAGCAGACATCCTTTGCATTGGTCTTCAATCCTTCTCTCTTCAGGCCATTACTCAGCATGGCCTTGATCACTGCCAAGCTGTCGCCAGAGGAAGTGGCTCCTGAGCCACAAGGAATTCCCTCTAGCCAGGGAGACTCTTTCTTCTCCAAGCCTGTTGTGCATGCAGGGGTTTTGCCTTCTCCCACTTGGTTCCTGGAACAGTGCTCAAGGAACAGTGTTCTTCCCCTTCGGCAGGTCCTCGCCCATCTTCTCTAGGTAAGCGTTTCTACAACGTCAGCGCAGCCCTGGACAATTCCCTGGCAGTGCCTTCTGTTGACATTCCGGTTCTGGCCTCGTTCCCATTTTCTGGCACTCTCACATGGGCAGCCATATGGTGGCTGCACCAACTCCAGATTAGATTGCCTACATCTGACCTTCGGTCTCACCAAAGCCTTAATAAGATTATCGCAGCGGCGGAATTCACTGCAGATGCCACTCTCAATTCCGCCAAATTTGCATCTGAGCCATGGCATCTTCAGTAGCAGCAAGAAGACTGTTATGGCTCAGAAATTGGCAGGCGGAGTCATGTCGTAAATGGAAGCTGGTTTCAGTTCCATTCGCGGGCGATAAACTTTTTGGCAATGCTCTGGAACCTTATCTCATCGAAACCAGAGATAAACGTAAAATTCTCTCTTCCTCTGGGAAGAGAGCCGACTATCGCCCAGCTCCTTATACTGGTAAACAGCCCTTTCGGGAGGGTGGGAGTCGTTCCTGCCATCGCTCTAAGTAATCCCTCGTTCTCCCCACCCATCGGAGGTCGCCTAGCCTTCTTTGCCTCCAAATGGGAGGAATCAATGGCGGATGCCTGCGTGCTCAGCACTATTAGGTCAGGATTACAATTGGACTTCTTAATGCACCCCCCCCCCCCAATTTTTGATCTGTCCTGTCACTCGGGACATTTCAAGGCAAGACCTCATGAATCAGGCCATTCAACTCCTTCTTGAAATCTGAGCTATTCAAACCTGTTTCCCCCTCTCAATGGGGACGTGGGCTTTATTTTCGCCTTTCATTGTTCCCAAAGCCTCAGGGGGGGTAGTGAACCATCCTGGATCTAATATTTCTCAACCAATTTGTAAAATAGAGGCTATTTAAAATGCACTCTATTTTAGAGAGCGTTCGGGAGGGCAATCTCCTCTCTTCCACTGATGTCATGGAGGCTTCCTCCACATCCCCATTGGGCCTCATCATCGCCAGTTTTTCTGTTTCTGTTATCAGAACACCCATTACCAGTATCGAGCACTTCCCTTCGCCCTCTCATCAGCTTCAAGGGTCTTCACGAAGGTTCTGGCAGCATTGATGGCATCTCTGCTTTCTGTTCCAGTGAGGATCCAATGCTACTTGGACAACATTTTGATTCTGTCCTCCTTCATCCATGCAGCCCATCGGGATCTGCAAATTACCCTGTCCTATCTCCAGAGGCATGGATTTTTCTACTCCTGTCCACTCTAATGGTTCCTGCTTCCCTACCAATGAGCAGGAACCAGCCACTCATCCATCAAGGTCCCGCTCCCACCACAAATCCGGAGATCTCTCAGTTGGTGGTGTTCCCCGTTAAACTGGAAGGGACTCCTTTTCAGGGTCCCAGACAGGCTAGTGATAACCACAGATGCCTGCCTTCTGTGTTGGGGTTCCCATATGCAGGGCCTGATAGCTCAGGACCTTGGTCCAGGTCAGAGGCGGCCCTTCCCATAAATTGGGTAGAGCTCAGAGCCATTTTTCTACCTCTCAAGCATTTCAGGCACTCATGACCGGCTCTCTTGTTCTAGTCCTTATGGACAACATGGCCTCCATGAGTCATGTCAACCAGCGCGGGGAGACGAGGTCCAGAGCCCTCATGGGAGAGGCTCTACAGTTGGGGTTATGGGCAGAGCAACACCTGTTGTCGATCTCAGCGGACCACTTCTCCGGGATCGACAACTCCCAGGCCGACTGGCTCAGCAGGAGCCTAGTCGACCAGGCAGAATAGTCTATTCCTCCTTTTCTGTTCAGGGACCTTTCCCTCAGATTCGGAACGCCGGAGGTGGATCTTCTCCACTCCTCAATTTGCCCAGGTCACCAGATTCTTCACCAGGTTTCCTTGCCAGGGAGCGGAGTGGACCAATGCCCTTCGGTGCAGATGGCCCAAGGGTCTCCTCTATGCCTTTCCCCCGCTCCCATCATTCCGGCAGTAATTCGGAAGATGTTGGAGGAATGAGCAGAGGTCCTCCTCCTGGCACCCTATTGACCAAGGACACCCTGGTTTGCGGACCTGGTCAACCTGTCAGTGGCTTCTCCTTGGAGAATCCCAGCCCATCTAATCTCCCTTCATCAGGGGATTCTGCTCCACTCAGAGCCCCAGTGGCTCAAGCTGACCATGTGGCACTTGAGCGGCAGCGGCTAGAGGTGGCTGATTTTCCTGAAAGGGTTATCATCACTATCCTGGCATCTCGCAAACCTCCCACAAGGCGCATCTATGATGCCACCTGGAAGGCCCTTTCCCGATGGTGCCTTAGGGAGGGTCTCTCTCCCTCTTCAGCCCAGTTGCAGAGTTCTTAGATTCCTTCAGCATGACAGGTTTGGCCCCCAACACCTTACGCAGGCAGATTGAGGCCCTCTCCTCGGTTCTTTCATGGGGTTCGCTTCCTTCTTATCCCATCACCCTTCAGTCAGGAAGTTTTTGAAAGGGGCTTCCAACCTGCATCCTCCGGTGGTTCACAGGTATCCTTCCTGGGATCTTCATGTGGTCCTTTATGCCCTTACAAAGCCCCCTTTTGAACCCCTTAGAACATTGTCTCTCCATTTCCTGACTCTGAAGGTAGTGTTCCCCATTTCCATCACTTCAGCCAGGCGGGTATCCGAGCTCGCTGCTCTTTCCATCAGACAGGACCTTTGTTCCTTTCACAATGATAGGGTTGTCCTCAGTCTGGATCCCTCATTTATTCCAAGGGTTAACACCTGTTTCTCAGGTCCCAGGATATTATATTGCCTGGCTTCTGTCCCCTCCCGCACCATGACTTAGAGCAGCAGTGGCACTCACTAGACGTAGGTAGGGCTCTTAGAATATACATTAAGCGCACTTCTTCCTTCAGGAAGTCGGAAGCCATTTTGTTTCCTTTTCCCTTCTCACTTGGGGCACAAGGCCTCTTCTCCTATTAGCAGGTGGGTCAGATCTTGCACTGAGCAGGCCTACAAAGCTGCGGCCCTTCCAATTCCTCGAGGTCTGACGGCGCACTCTACCAGAAACGCGGCCACTTCGGCTGCCTGGGCGACCCAAGCACCCTTGGAGGAGATCTGTCATGTGGCCACATGGACATCTCTGTCTCCTTTCATCAGATACTACCGTCTGGATGTCTTTGCCTCAGCAGCCTTCGGCAGACGGGTGCTTCAATGAGTGGTTCAACAGTCAGTGTGATGAGCCGGACTAGGACCCGCCCGTGGACATGCAAGCTTTGGTATGTCCCATCCTGGGCTTTTGATGCAGCATGGAGGAGAATGGGCATTGGTAGAAGTTACCCTGAACGCCCTTTCTATCTATGCTGCGAGAGAGCCCAGCCCCTCCCTTGATTTGTCCGGAGAGGGTAAGTTATATTTCTGTATTCATTTGTGCTTTCAGAGACACCTTTCAGTCTGTCAAGTATCTTCGCCAAAGCTAGGTTCTCTTTCAGGGGCTGGCTTTTATATCTTAGTACAGACTCAGCTAAATGACATCATAGGAAGGAGTCAACCCATCCTGGGCTCTCTCGCAGCATAGATAGAAAGGGCGTTCAGGGTAACTTCTACCAACGCCCATTTCCTGCAGCTTATCACAGGGAGAAGACGTCCAGACTACCAGGCAACCTCCTCCTTCTCCTTATCAATTGCCTGAAGCTTTAAGGAAAATAACAATTTTACATTTCTAATTTAACATTCATGAAAACTACTGCTTGTCATCACTTTTGATAATGAAATCTTGGGTTTTTTTCTTGTATCAATTTAAAGGGCGTTGGAAGATTTTATAAATCCAGAAAGAAACATATAATTACAACACAAACTGAACACAAATGTGTGCTAGATTCTTGCCGTGCCCTAGAAGCTGAGGGCTTTCGAGTCACTTATTTACCTGTAAAGAAAAACGGCCTTATAGATATTAAGGTAAATGATTTATTTTCAAATATTTGTACATCTGAAGAACAGAGTGCTGTTTTAATTTTTTGCTGTCCTCATTAGCCTTAGTATATAGCTTTCTACATAAAATTTTCTCAATAAAAACAAACAAAATGTTTGTCAGGTAGAAGGTTAAAACTGATGTTCAGGATGTTAACCATTTCCAGTAGATCTAAGTACATTAATAAATGCAATTTAAAACATAGTAAGCTTGTTCTTACATTGAAATAATTTGATTAAATGATGATGGTTTACTTGTTAAGATGCAATTCTAAGAATATTAAGACCATACAGTATTCAATTTAATGGAACTGTTGAGTATGCATACATAGGATTGCATCAAATAACATTCATTTGTTTGTTTGTTAAAACTTGCTGCTTTTTTACTTCAACAAGAATTGTGATCTGGGATTCCATTTTAAAATGGAAATTACAAAGTCATAATAATTTTAAAAAGAGTAGGGAAAGCTTGACTTCTTTCCATATTCTTATCAGGTAGCCATGTTATCTGTATAACAAAGTAATATTCTGCATGTATGTACATTTCTGTTTTCTTGTGTTATCTCTGCATTTGTGTATCTGCACACTGGGAGGTATGGGGAAAGCTACATATGCTTTGTTCTGGGTCATATGACTAGGAGGTAAAGGGACTTAGAATAGCAGTCACCAACCTTCTGAGCCACTGCACAAATATCTCTCCCATAGGATACATTTGGAGCGGTTTTTTTCCTAGCCTCCAACCTAATCCAGTTATTTTCAAATATTGTCTACTGTTCCCTACATACCAGTCTTCACTCTATTTTGTTCAGCTTTCAGAGAGTTATCCTGCTGAAAGACAAAGTTTGCAGATCCTTTATGTAATTTTTTCCAGCTTTAAAAATTCAAGTAATCAGAATGTGATGGGCTATATGTGGTCTTATATATTAATACAGAGATTTGTAGCCATCCTTTATCTTTTTAAATATAATTCTATGTATAGGATTATACTTCTAAATTAATTGTTAACTATATGAACAAAATCCATGGAAGCTACATGTCTATCAAACAGTAGAATATTGTAATGTGGGAAGAAATATTGTTTTTGTTGATTTTAGACATTACTTGACCACTCAGAGGCAATGTATGACTAATTTTGTTTGCATTAGGATTCATCAAGTTTAACAACCATTACAGTTACCCCCTCTCTCTTGCTGGGGTGGTAGAATTGTGGGGCCTATATTATGAGGATGTGACATAAAACAATAGCTCTGCCTCTCTAGTTTGAGAATTCAAATAAGGAAGATGTATACAATACATAGTTTGTTTTCCTTGGATTGCCTAAGGCTATGTCAAACTTGAACTGATAGAATGAACTTAGAATAAGCTATTTTAAGATTCTAATAGCCAGTTCTGAGCTTGACCCATTATATTTCACTTGTTTTGAACTTGAACTGGTTTGTACATATCTAATTATTTCCCTCTTGTATTATTTTTATCAGGAACTGAAAAATGCAATAGAACCTGATACAAGCCTAGTGTCAATAATGACTGTGAACAATGAAATAGGAGTGAAACAGCCAATTAGAGATATTGGTACGTAGACATGAATTGTGATCTATGCTCCAAATAATGGCATGTGTAAAACATTGGAGGGGCCATCATATGTAGACTAAGCTGCTTTAATTGGTTAAAAGTAATCACAATTTTATTACAGTACTTACCGGTACACAGTATAGGTAGCCATTGATTTATAATAGCAATAGGGACTGGAATTTTTGTTCTTAAGTAATGTATTCATGAAGCATGACCACATCAGTTATTAACAACAATCCCTGAAGCCCCAGTTATCATTGTTTATTGAATTCTATGGCCATTGGCTGAGGCAGTTTCTGGCTGGCTACTCACAACCAAATCAGTGGGGAAACCAGGAAATAGCAAGTTTAGGCAGCTGGCAGGTAAATAGCTGCTGCTGAGTGGGGAAGGAGATGTGGGGGGCAGGTGCAAAGGTGTGAGGGAGGCTTGGCAAGGCTTGGGGAGGATACATAAGGATGCAAGGGAGATGCAATGAGGATTGGGAAGGGTGCAAAGGAGATGTCGCAAGGGTTGGAGAGGGTACACGGGGATGCATGAGATATGAGGAAGGCACAGAGAGGCTCATGAAGAGTGCATAGGAGTATGCAAGTGGCTTGCACAGTGCAAGCGCAGAGGAATTGAGTGAGTGGCATGGTGGGAGACATTTACCCCAAGAACTTGGGATCTACCTGGCTTCCCCATTTACTTTCTGGGAACGGCTTTCTCCATAGACAGGGAAAGGTTGCAAATGGCCATCACATGTTAGCAGGACACTGCAACTGGTTGTAAGTGCAAGCTGCTTGCCAAGCGTCCAGATCATGATCCTGTGTCTGTGGGAATGCTGGAATGGCTGGAACTCTGAGGATTAAATTGTCTCAGTTTATTGCCTCCAGCTTTTGTCATGAATTTTGCCAGTAAGTAAAATTCATCTGCAACTATATTGTCTAGTGGCTGACTTCTCTATATAATACAAGAAAGAGTTTAAGGTTTATGAACCCTAGGTAGGAAAAGTTGACTTAGAAATAACCAGGGGATATTTCCTTTTTTTTTTTTTTGGTAGTCTTTCTTTTAGATTTTCTCATTAGCTTCCAGGGCAGATGCTAAATACAGCATAGAAGAAAGTGAATAAGTTAGTGAACTGCCTACCTCCCTATATTAGAGACAGATACTTCCTATAAATCTAAATCAAGGACTTACATATGAGGAGAAAACAATTGCTTTGATTAATCCTCAAAATTATCCTTTGAAGATAAATATTAGTTTCTATACTTAAAATACTCATTTTAAGATGACAAATAATTATACTGTGGTGTTTTTTTTTTTAATTACAGGTGACATATGCAGTTCCAATAAAGTTTTTTTTCATACAGATGCTGCACAGGCAGTTGGAAAAATCCCTCTGGATGTCAGTGATATGAAAATTGATTTAATGAGCATAAGTGGCCATAAAATTTATGGTCCCAAAGGTATTAATATTTAGTGAGTCCTTGTATTTAAAAAAGAGTCATTATTGCATGAATGTTATAATTGCTGAACTTTACTTAATTGTAGTTTCCCTAAGATTTTGGATTGATTAATATTGAAGTAAGAGCTTATTATTTTTTATTTACTTTTAAAAAATATTTAGAAATCTTTTGAAAAGGCAATCGCTTATTGAGGTATTATTTTAATTGAATTGTAGGATATTCTTTGTTGTAATTCTTAAGTATTTTATGCAAGTGGTTGTTGTTAGTCACGAAGTTGTGTCCAACTCATTGCGACCCAATGGACCATGTTCCTCCAAGCCTTCCTCTCCTCTACCATCCTCTGGAGTCCATTTAAGCTCACACCTACTACTTCAATGACTCCATCCAGCCACCTCATTCTCTGTCATTCTCTTCTATTGCCCTTAATCTTTCCCAGCATTAGGCTCTTATCCAATGAGTCCTTCCTCCTCATTAGGTGGCCAAAGTATTTAAGTTTCATCTTCAGGATCTGGCCTTCTAAAGAGCAGTCAGGGTTGATCTCTTCTAGGACTGACTGGTTTGATTGCCTTGCAGTCCAAGGGACTCACAGGAGTCTTCTCCAGCACCATAGTTCAAAGGCCTCAATTCTTTGGTGCTCAGCCTTTCTTTCTTTTTTAAAAAATTAAAAATAAACTTTATTAAAGATTAAAAATATATATATACATACATAATACGTAGAATACAACATTTCGTTGCAAACAAAATCAATATACAAATACATAACAAATAAACATAAAACATACACATTTCTAATCAGCTAAAATGATGTGATCTTTTATTGAAATAATTTTACTAGTATTCATTTCCTGTTTTTGGTAAATGCTCTTAATCTAACCACTTTACTTTTCAAATCCTTTTCTTTTTATTCCGTGGTTTTTATCTTTGATCCAATTGTACCATTTTCCCCAAGCTGTACTATATTTTGAGTCTACCTTATCCCTACGTTTTTGGGTAAGTAGGTCCATTTCAGCGCAGTCAAGAACTTTCTGAATTATCAAATTACTTGTTGGCATTTGGTCACCCTTCCAGCATTGTGCCAATGTAATTCTTGCTGCCGTAATTATATAGAGAATTAAATATTTCATTTCTTTTGCGTAGTCCCCTTTTAACATTCCCAACAAAAATATTTCGGCCTTAAATTCTAGTTGAATATTTGTAATTTCTTTTATCCAAATTCTAATTTTTTTCCAGTACTTTTTACTTTTTGGGCAAAGCCACCAAGTGTGAAAGAAGGTACCCCTCATTTGCTTACATTTCCAGCAAGTCGGACTTAAGCTTGGGTACATATTCGCTAATCTTGAGGATGCCAGATATCACCGGTAACAAATTTTATATTGATTTTCTTTATAAACAGCCAATTTTGTTCTTTTGTAATTTTGTTTCCAGACTTTTTCCCAATCTTCCAGATTAATGTTGTGTCCTACATTCCTTGCCCATACAGTCATTGGGCCTTTAACTATTTCTTCCGCCATTTCGAATTCTAGTAGGTAATTGTACATTTTAGAAATTAATTTTTCATCCATTCCCTCTAATATTTTATCTAATTGGTTCAGTTTTACCTCAATTCCAAATTCTTCTATGTCTTTTTTATACCTCATTTTAAGTTGTAAATATGTCCACCACTCTATTTTCATGCCTTGCTCTCTACGTTCTTGGTTCATCTTTAATCCTCCTGGGGAGTTTAGGACATCATAATATCAAATCTTTCTTCCAGTTTCTAAAGCATTGGGGTGGATCAATGCCTCCTACACACCCTGGAATCTTCATATAATGTTTATGTTTAATCTCTTTTCACACTTTCAATAGTGAGCTTCGAATTACACGCCTATTAAAGTGTGCATAGCTCTTATTTCCTGGGTTCCACATGAAGGCATGCCACCCCGCCTCCAGATCGTGCCCTTCTAGGGTTAAAATTCTTTTGTTTCTGAGGTTGGCCCATTCTTTAATCCATGTTAAGACTGCTGCTTTATAGTATATTTCCAGGCAGGGAGTCCAAATCCACCTCTGCATCTATTGTAATGTGCTTAGTTTTATTCTCGCCCTTTTCTTTGACCAAATAAATTTCATGGTAAATTTGTTTAAATCATTTAAAAA